GATAAAATATATTAAATACCTAACAACATAAAACATAATTTTATGCTTTCATATTATACGTAATATGAAATACAAACTAGTAAAATATTTTGCTGTAAATCATAATAATAATGTGAAGTGTATAATGATACATAATGTAACAAAAAAAAAAAAAAAAAATGTAATAATGTAATACACGATTCTCGTATATAATAGTATATAATAAGTATTAACAGTCCAATTATTATTGCGATGATGGGTTTGGATGTCGATTGATTTATTTGAAACCACAATTAATCGGTTATACATTTTAGAGATAGGTATTCTACGGCACATGAAATTAAAGACGTTTATTACTACGTTTACATGCATCCATTAATTCGTATTAATTTGATTCGTATTGAATCAATTCGAATTAGGTCACAAGTATACATACTATAGTAATACCGTATTAGGATAATACACTTCCACCAAACCAGTTTACGTGGCAACGTTTACATGCACAGTTTAAACCGATTTACCTTAATATTCGAATTAATAATTTCATTTTTTCCCTCCAATTTATTCAGTGATATTCTATTGATAACAATTATGTGATAATATTATTATAATTTAATATTTATTATTAATAGTTATTAGTTAAAGACGTTAAAGTAAAAAATTTTTAGAACTTTGTTTTATTGTTTAATGTGTAGAATTTTGTAAAATTCTATGAAGTATGTCTTCTTCTAACTATTTACAATTGTTACAAATGATGGAATTACTACGAATGAATTTAAAACAACAAAATAAAAGACGTAACAAACTGAGACGCTTAGTTATAAAAAAGCGAAGGGACTTTTTAACTGTTTTAAATATGTCAGAGTTCCTATATTTTGAATGATCCAAATGACTTAAAATATGTTTTTCTTTAAATATATCCAGCATACATAAAACGGTTGATTCGGGCCAGTTAGTGCGAGTTTTCTTAATTATTTGATTCATGATGTATACTGTATAGTAATAATATATTATAATAAGTACAGTACCTATATTAAGTAGTTTATAATTTAGTACTTACGAGTTCTTTAATTTGACTTGAATTTAAATTGACTGCCTACTTAATCCCTCACTAATTAATAAATATTATCACAGATACAGAATAATCAATAAATTAATGAAAATTATCATTTATTATAACCACAAAGATTATAACCAAAGTGGATCTATATATATAATCTATATATAGATCCACCTTGATTATAAATTTAATAATTGATAACGTGTATTATACCTTATCACAACAAATTACCGCAATCCTGATTCGGTTGTTGTAGTATCATCCGTTTATATGCATTTTGAACTCCCGTAGTTATTTCCAATGCGCATTTCAAATGTGAATTAACTAAACCGTTTTAGGTAAACCGAATTGGTATAAAACTGAATTAACAGTCGTTTACATGCATTTAACTCCAGGAGTTAACTAATTCGAATTGAGTTAAATCGGTTTTAACTGTGCATGTAACCGCGGTATATGAGAACAAAAATGACAATTTTCAAAATGGTATCAAAACACGTTGCATTGTTGTAGTACATCAACTTGTATTACGAATACGTATGAAAGTATAATTTTAAGTATGATGTACTATAACTATAACGTATAATGTCTACAGCAATAGAGTATAATTTAGTTGAATTTTTTTAATATTATGCAATTTGTGTTAGCATTTTTAGTAATTATTCGTCTGTTCTTCTAATTTATTCTACATTTCTATCCTAATACAGATAATTCTTATCTATTTCTAACCTATCATGGAATAAAATATTTTAAAAATCATATAACTCTTTTGAATACCATTGGTAACTATATAATTTTGGTGACTATAATATATGACAGTTAAAATTCATTAAGATTCGAAACACTTGTATGAACTTAGAATATGATTACATATAAATGCAAAACATTAATCAAAAGAAACTCACAATAATTTTTAAACCAAAAACGTCTTCTCAATGTCTTCTCACTATGTTATTAGGATATGTACAAAAAAAAAAAGGAATTTAAAATATTTTATATTTGATCGTAACTAACACGAAATATCCAAAGGCATTATAAATATATAAACAAGTTAAAAAATAGCATACATTTTCGGCGTACATTTATATATATTACGTGGTTACACTTGTTAATAGTTCTTACTGAAGTTATTTTAAAAATTATTTAATTTTTTTTTTTTTAACAAAATAGTTTGTACTATTTATTGTGAAGTGAAATGAGAATGGAATATTATAAATAAAATGTCATTCTGATCGAATAAATGCATGCGAGTTCCTTATAATGTTTCTGTAATATTAGTACAATATAATATTATTACGTTGTGTATTAGAGTATACCATTATAATAACGTTAGGGTGATTTTTATTCATCTTTACGTAATGTTTTCACACACACAAAATGCTCTTAATAAATGAATGATTTACCTAAATATAGTTTCTAGTTTTAGGGTTTAGGCCGATTAGTATGACATAATATTGATTAGAATGGATTCAGAGTTACTTGCTAGGTTTATATAGCACACCGATTCTTTAACACGGTTTCGCCATTGGCAAGGCTTCAAATGTCTAAAGTTAGAAAGCATTTTTTTTTCTATAAAGTGGCCCGTGATTCTACGATTTAATATTAAAACGTTGCTATCGATATCTACTGGATATCTCTTATAATATAGCGCTTCAATGAAACGAATCGCCAAAGTATACAAAACTGATTTTCCAACAATTAAATTGAACGCAAACTATGTGCGTTGAGCAACAGCTAAACATATTTTGGTTTAAAAAAAAATTAATCTAACGTTTTATGGTGATGGGAGGGCTGAATGTTGTGTAGATATCATGGCTACGGGCGTCGGATAGGGTGGTATGACTATGACCGAAATAATGATTTCAATAGATTTTCATATTAATTGTATGTATTATTTAACACAATAATTTAGGACACAAAAAGTTGTATACACACAAATAACGGAATATTGATGGAAATTATGTAAACAATAAATTAAAAATTGTAAAATTTTTTGAGAACCTTCTCACTTCTAACATTTTTTATTGGAGTGACTTAAAATGATACGTACATTTAAATAATCTTTTCAAAAACAATAATTACTAACAGTGACATTTTAACGTGTGCAAAATCACCTTGTAAATATAATGATGTATAAGATTTCACATTTTATTTCACTTGAATTACACATATATTAATAGTATTGAATGTCTTCATAAACGGTCTACCGTGCAATCTTGTCGTTGTAATGTTACGTGAAATTAAATAGATTCTGCAATACACCGCATACTTTGGTTATCAAAATATATTGATGTTATTTTTTTACATTTACCTTAAAAGAATTGAGCGGCTAAAAAAATGAAATCCATTGCCACTAATCCATTGTAATATCAGCTTGAAAACAAGTCTGATCAAGTAAGTGTGATTTGTGTCACACGATATAACACGCTCGTAAAAGTAGTTGAGGGCAGTATCTTGTAGTAAGTATATAAGCTGAAAAGATTATTGTATTTTATTGATACAACCATGGTATTTTCTATCGATAATCGAGTTGCATTATTTGCAAAATTACCTCCATCGTGTATCTACAATATTTTCCGTGTATTTTTAATTATACAACTTCTTTGTTCGATAATACGTTTAAAATTAAAAACATTTTTTTTTTTTTAATTATTAGTATTATATAATATTTTAAAGGTATATATATATATATATTTGTACCTCTGTGAGTCAGTGACGCCGAAGTCCTAATAATTTAGTCAGACAAAAAATATTTAAAAAGGCAATATATTCCTAATATTGATCCCATTGGCATGTCATGTGGAAAAGGACAGTGGTTTTTACCCAAAAAATATTGATATCAGACTTTAATTTTGTAATAAAATTTTCATACTGTTTGACAACTAAACATCGGCCTAACATGAAGTGGTCCCATTTTCAAAAGATATCAGACAAAGGCCCAATCTCAATTTAGGGTTCGGTGCCATTGCCGTGACTCAAGTAAAACTGGTATGGATAAAGTTAATTTTTTTTGTTTGAAATCTGAAGAGTTAACATACCTCCCTCCCACTGTATATTTTCATCGTAATTTAACACGATCACTGTATGTAATACACAAAACTTTATTGATTGGAAAATATCCCCATTTCCCAAACAATTGTTCGAAAATTACATACAAATCATTGTTTTTTAGCTCCCGTAGAATTTTAAAGAGTTTAATTATAACAGAAAAATAACATTAGAATAAAAACTATTATAAATGTGCTTCTCCAGTATAATATTTATTCTGATGTGTCTTAGGTATCAGTTGTGTCTAACGTATATTATATCAATGGTTGGGGCACACCTTGCGTTTAGACATTCAAATACTACCTTTCCTATGCTAATTCTGATGTCGGGAAATCGAAACCGAGAGCATCGAAAAAAAAAATAGTATAAACGGCGTTCTGCACGCAGAGACAAGGGCTATGTCGGAAATATTGATGCGAGATTAAAAAAATGTCAGTATAAACGAACAAACCGTAAACTATTCGAAATACTATATTTTTTTTTATCGAGAAAACGCAAAATAAATTTTCGGAATTAATATGCATGGCAGATTTATTATGAACACACGCAAGCACACACACACATGCATACGCGTTAACTGGACGGCGTCGGTGGAGCAGAAAAAGGAACAGGAGGCAAGAACGGAAAGGAGAGGGTGTCGTGCGGAATGCACTAACCCTCGCCCACTGTAGACGAGTATTATATTCGAGGACGAAGAGCGCGCGCAGGGCTGCTCGGCAGCATCACTCGCGGGAGATGTGGAACGAGGGGAGAATATGAGCCAGAGGGCGTGGAGGTATGTAGGCATTCGTGATGTAGAAAGTCGTGTCGTGGGGGGGAGGGGGCGTGGAAGGGCACTGAAACTTTCGAAGGGACGTGGCAAGAGGACGCGGTGCCGCCGATGGTCTCGTTGCCGCCACCACTGCCGCCGGTGCTCACTGCACGCACCGCCGCCGCCGTAGTCGTGTGCCGGGGAATCAGTTTTGGCGGTCCAACGTTGGCGAACACACGGACGATCACGGTCCACCGTGCGACGTTTCAAACGTGCGCGCGCCAAACGCGTGTTCCTTTTTAAAAAACAGCGGTACAAGGTAGTCGTCGTGGTACACGTGCGCATAGAGTATCGGTCGTCGAGCCCGTCGATGTGAAATTATGCTGCTGTCGTTGCCCGACCAGCGTCATCGCCGCTGCCGCCGCCGCCGCCGCCGCCGCCGTAGTCGTTGTCGCTGTCATCTCGTCCACGCAGCGCATCGCCACTTGTTGTCGTCGTCGGCAATCGCACCGGATTAGGACGTGCCCAGGGACGACACGTTTCCCATTCGGTGAGACGATTTCATGGTATTAATGACATTATTTTGGCTCGGTAATACTTGAGAACAGTTGCAATTCTTGAATAGTGTTGAAAAACGCCACGCGAATCCGTCTAGAAGAAATGTAACCTAGTGAAACACATAGCTCGAAAGATAAACGCAATTTTCGTTTTTGCCCTCACGCGAACGGTCGGTGACGGCTTACGCGCAAACATCCGGGAGATGTTCCAGGAACATTAGGTCCTACCACACGATGTACGTTAATAGTCTATTCCTTCTGCGAGACACGTTAACACTAAAACGAGAAATCAACGCTAAAATTATAATTACGTAGATCGAATGAGATTACCTTTTGTGACGGAAAAAATACGAATAATACGTTTTCTTTGATTTTCATGATAATAGTTATTACAAGAGTAAAAAAATAGTAATTTTTTTTTTTTACAAATCTTTCGTTGTCGTGAGTCATTATTTCAATTGAATTAACTTATTAAAATGAATGCAGGGGATAAAAATAAAATTTATAGTATATATAGTATTTTCGTACGAATAATAACTGTTTTATGTTGTTTATCTCAAAAGAATAAAGTTTTTAAAATATTCGTATTTAAGTTGCACTTATCACTACAGACACTTAAACGTGTACCGGTTAAGTGATGACAAGGAAATAAAATGCGTTATCAATTTCATCTTTGTCTTGAATGATAATAATTTTAAAATTGGAGATCAAATGTTTAACTACCATGTTGCGTTTTTAATAATAATATTTACTATTATTATATGTTCAGATAATAATCAAAGTTAGACATTTATAGTACATTTTTCTTTTTAATTATTGTAAATAATTATACAGTTGCATCATACGTAGACGATATGTAATTTACTCTCTCTTTCTTGGAATTACTTGTGTATAGGTTTCTTATTTTTTTTTGTCGAATCTTATACATTTTAAAAGACGAGTTTCAACTACATGTTAACGTAAGCTCCAAATATGATATCCAAGTGCTCGCATTATCCTCTTTAAATACCAACCAAGTGCTAATTGTTCGTGCTGCAGTTTCCCACACCGAAAATAAATCCTGATAGTGTTCAATGCCAATACTCAGACCAGTAGGATTTTCTTCCTCCATATTATAGACACTAGTCGCATCTTTATGATTATAACCTTTAAGTATAATAAAACTGTCATTCACTGCACCCTAGATTCGAATATGTTAAGTACATTTTAAATTGTCTTTCCGATATTTACCGATATTTTGAATTTCCCATTTTTTTCCTGTCTTATTTGCTATTAAACTGTGCATTGAATTATTTCCACAGGTTTTCTCATTTTTCTTTTTCCGTTTCCGGCTAGATCTAGAGTTGGAACGACGTCTTAAAGGAATATTTTTTATTTTTCTTGGTTCAACAGTTTTTCATGAACTACCCCGTGACGAATACATAACGACGATGCAAAGCTTAAAGATAAATGTATGAATTCGATATAGATACTGAGCGATTCGACAACGGCAATCGGCGACCATAAGAAATTATTTTATTTTTTTCGGTCTCGTGAAATTTATTCGAAAGCTGATACTGTCGAATCGATCTTATCGCACGATGACGTGAATATGTCTTTCTGAAATCTATCAACAACAATAAATGTTTATCTTTTAAAAGGTTTTAAGGGACCCGAACACTGGTATATATTTTGTGTATCCTTAACCAATAAATAGGTTTTTAAAAAAATAAAATATTTTTCAATTGTTATAATCCATACCTTATTTATCGAGGAATGGTAACTGGATTTTGTTAACATTACAAACTTACACAATTACCCAACGATTTATGAACATAATATAGATATGATAAATTTTTCATTTTTTTTCCTGTTTATTCAAATGAGATAACATTATTATATTAATGCCCTCGATATTAAATATATTTCATTGAATTTAATGAGATGATATAGAAATCTCAATATTAAAAGTCATTATATTAATTAACACACATTAATAATATTAATAATGTATGTTCAAATGCGATAGAACAATGTGTGATATTATTAAGTTCAAATTTCCAGTCCATTTATTTGACAAAATATGGTTTAAATTGTTCACAAAACTTTACTTAGGTTTTAAAATAAATTTGGCAATTACTTTTTTATAAATTTTTTTTGATAATTTATGAAAAGTAAACCAAAAAAATTTCAGTTAGTCCAATTCAAATTGTATACCTACTTTATAGGTTGTACAAATTATACATACAGTTGTATTGTAAGCTCAACATTATCTACTGTTATTTTTTTTTGAACTAATAAATTTTCTTCAAAAAGAAAATTAAAAAACCCATATTTATCAATTATATGAATCTTAAAGTTTTTAATTTTCATCCAAGGAATATATAATATTATGCAAAATGTAATAAATCTTAAACCTGAAATAGCACTAATGAAACAAAAATTATGCAAATTTGTAAATTTTTTGTTGTAGATGATTACTAATATAATTTTGTATTTCTGATGAGTAACTATATAACCGTGGGTAATTAAATGTATAAGCTGATAATCAAGTGTTGTAAGGAACCTCCAAATAATGTCACGGCTTTTATTGATATCGAAATTATACGTTCTTTAGTCGTATAAATACTTACAAAAGAAAAAAAAAATACTAATCGACCGCAACGTTTTCACTGTAAACTCAGATTTTTGCAGCAAATAAAAGTTTATAATATAATAATACAATTTAATAGAATTCGAACAACGATATTAAATTATAATTCTTAACCATAAAATTATACTGCACGTAATATGTATACTATAACATGAACAGGCGATGGGTAACGATTTTTTGTTTTTTTAATTAATGAAACAGTTTTCCATGATTTATTTAATGATAATCAACTTATTTAAGTGTTGGTGAGTCTGTATCGTAAATTAAAATACATAATTAAAAAAATATGAATCCATACAACAATCGTGTTCACAACGGTTGAACATTTAAAATAAATTGTCCATAAAAATATTCGCTGCGTTCTCTGGGCTTATTCAAACAACGAACACAATGCATTTTTTTACGTATAACATTATTCAATAGTGTTACGGCTGCATTATTTTTTTTGTTTATCAAATTATTGTCATTGAAATCTATATCTGAGCACTTCAACGTATTGTAGATTATTTTCAAATTGTATACTTGACGTTACAATTAATATGTATACAGATCTATGAACGTTTTGTATACGACTACACTTATAGTAGTTTTGTAAAAAGATATAATATTTAAATATTTAAATTCATCCAGAATATTCTCAATGAAGTGTTAAGTCCAGTATTACTTCTAAGTACTTCAGGAACCCGTTATATTTAACTTCTTAGCCTCCAAATTGTATTTTAAATTCATCGTTAGCTTCCCTATTATTCAAATGGTGAAGCGATACTTCCGTTTTGGTCGTGTTAGAATTAAGCCTTCAGTGTTTGAAATATTTGTGTAATAAATCGAAATCGGTATTCATGATATTTTGTAGCTCTTCAAAATGTCTAATTTGGCAAACAAGAGCGATATCATCTGCGTATACAAATGTTCTCGTAATAATTCCTTGAATGTCCTTTGTATATAGATTAAATAAGAGTAGTGGTAACATTGAATCTTGGAAAGGGCCATTGTTGGTTCTAGGCCAAAATAGCGAAATAATTAACTACGAACATGAAAATCGTGAATCGATAATAGCGAAAATAATAATAGTAAATTTTAAAATAAGCGATCATGCATAATGGCTAAACTGCAGTTTTTGTAATATCTATTTTGAATACTATACGTTTTAATATAGTACTTAGATAAATTTTAAAACTTATAAAACTTTAAAACTATAACTTATTATATTAATAATTATTATTTTTAATAATATAATAAATATTCTTAGGAAGAAGCCACCCTACTTTAGGGAAATTTATTGATATAATAGAGAAAATTCAAAATTTAGAAAAATTAGAATGAGAACAATATAATCTTGAAGTACAACCAAAGATAAAAAAAAGTTCAAGTACTGTGCTAAAGACTTAATTTGTTAATTATAAATTATAATACTAACGATAATAATAACTTTATAAATAGTATAGCATATAATTTTTCACTAAATTCCTAATATTTTTTTTCAAAATTATTATCACTACATGCTTAATTGTATATTTTCGCTCTTTTTTAAAATTCACTGTTTTTATTTTTGCCATTATTAATTCGCGATTTTTACATTCGTGGTTATTGTTTCTCTATTTTGGCCAGATACCTCATTGTTAAGTACATTTGTTTTCATGTTTTCTTCTTCTACGTAAATGGTAAGAAATCTATTGCTGAGCATATTGTTAAGGAGTGTAAAGAGTGTTAACAGCAGTTTTAACATTTTTATCAAATCCTTTTTCTATGTGAGTTGTGAGTACCAAAAGCTAATCACAGCAACTCATGCTTGGATAAAATCCAGCTTTTTTTTGTGGTAGCGTCTTGTCGATAGTTTCAGAAATGTAGTTATATTTATGTCTTTCTAATAATTTATAGTATACGCTCAGAAGTGATAGTGGGGGTTATACCTATACATACTATATCATTTTCTAGTTTTCCTGGCTTGAGAACTGATAGGACTTTAGTAAGTTTAAAATATCTCGGTAATTTATTGATAAGCTCTCGTTCATGCAGTTTTTGTTCATTCGGTACATGGGTTTCTTGGATTATAGTTTTAAGTTTTTGTAGTAAGCGAGATAGGTTACTGTTATTTTTTATTTACTAATACCTTCAATATTGAGCTGAATGATGTAGAGCTGAGGGCCAACATCTCGGATCAGATAGCGCTTATAAGGGCTGATTTTGTCGTTGGGTTTGATGTTACTCATAATAGCTGTGAGATCGAGGGACAGTACAGCAGCCCGTGGTGGTAATTCTTTAGCGGTCTACGACATTGTCTGGTGTACATGACGTAGAAACGAATTATCCTTTTACCCCATGGAAGCATTATATAATACATATATAGAATATATTATATGA